GTAGTTGCTGTCGGAGCTTATCTGCCTGTCTGCCTGGTGTCCGGGATCAACTCCCTTTGGCTTTCATCACTGCTCCATGCCTAAGGCACCTCCTGGTGGCCAACCAGCCTCTCTGGTCCCTGCTCGGAGTCTGAACCCTGTCCAGGGTCCTCCACATCTTCCAGAACCGACTCATAGAGTCCCTCGCTATTGGAGTCTGTTTGCAGCTCCAACAGCTCCTGCTGGGCCACAACAGATTACCTAGTATTATATAGGTGACTAGCTGATAACCCAGCACTGCCCAGGTATTTATTTATTCCAACCCTCCTTCCATGAACGTCACCGCAATTTCTAATGTTGGATTTCCCCCCCCCGTACCAGAGAGAGCCCCTTTGTGGAGTATTGTGAAGCTGCTCTCATAGCAACTCCACAGTGCTGTATAGTAGAAGTCATTTTAAGGTAGTACGGTAGAAGCCGTTTTAAGGCACAACAGGCTGTATCTTAGCAGAACACCCCCACCCTCCCGAGAGATGTTAGGGCTGTCTTACCCACTCAGTATTTGTTTCCAGAGGGTAAGCCATCTGTGTACCAAGTTTGGTTGAAGTCAGGGAAAAGGAAAAATGTATCCCTTCATTATGCCAAGGCTCTCCACATTTGGCAACTTCAAGACTTGTGGATTTCAATTCCCAGAGTTCCCCAGCAGGCATGGCTGGCTGAGGAATTGAAGTCCACAGGTCCAAAAGTTGCCAAGTTCAAAGACCCTTGGCATTGATGATCACTTGAAGCGGTTATGCTTATGAATTCTGGGCCTCCGTAGGAAGCTAAAACATCTAAGAACGTAATCATCATTCAGAAGTTCCAGGATGTGAGGTAAGAGTGAAAATCAGGAAGTTGCTGTTACGGTGTGTGGGAATGACCTTTAGAGTGAGTAGAGGTGGAAGAGACTATTCTCTAAGATGCCTGGAGAATAATCAGATAAGGTGGGGGAGCCCAGAGCTGCATAATGGGCAGAGAAAGAAGCTCAAAAAGAGAGAAAGAGAAAGAAAAAGAAGAAAGAAAAGGATCCTTCCTAACTTATCAGGCTGTTAAAAGAGATGGTGGGCGATTTATACTTTTAGACGTGCAAGATTAAGTTAACGTAGCCTTATAATAAAGTAGAATTAGCTCATCTGTTAAAAGAGCCCCGTGATTTGCATGGTTAGGAAGCTGGGTTGGAGGTTAGTGTTTGAGACCCAAGTGTTGCCTTGGGGCTGGGTGAGCTCTTGTCNGTTCCATGCGTTGCCCAAATACAGAATAGGGATTTTGGTATTTGGGGGGTTTGCACCCATGTGCACATATTCGCACATACATGCACACTTTGGGCACTTGGCACCAAAAAGGTTAGCCATCCCTGATGTAGGTCTCCTGCTTTGATAGTGGGTTGGACTTGAAGACCTCCAAGGTCCCTTCCAGCTCTGTTATTCTGAAGGAAAGGCAAGAGGTGGGAAATAAACCTAATCGTATCTAGCCCGATGTCCTTCAAAAACAATGAAACAATGCAATCAATGAAATGGAGAAAGAATTGGCTTTCATTTTTTGCAGAAAACAGAAAAGAGGACATATCAATGCAGAAGCTTTGGGATGCAATGAAGGCCCTTGCTGGAGGCTTGATAACAGACTATGCAAGGAAAAGAAATACTAAGAAAAGAAAAGCTTTTAACATTAGAGGATGATTACAAGAGGCTTGAAAAAGAGCTACGGAAACGTCGACACAAAAAAGGACATTAAAATTAAAATGGACACAATTAAACATAAAATGGGGCTAATGGAAAAGGAGGAATTAGCACAAAAACGTAGAGGTGCTAAGCAGAATTATTTTGAAGATGCAAATAAACCAGGTAGATGGTTAGCGTATAAACTGAAAAAAGAGAGAGAATAGACGACCAAGGGCAAACCTGCCATGGAAATAGAGGGAAGAAGAAAAAATTATACAAGAGTACTACGGAAAATTGTATGAAGAAGAGAACATAGAGGAGGGAAGAGTTAAACAAAAAATAATGAAACAGGGAACCTGAAACTGACTAATTAAAAGGAAAGCAACAGGTTATGAGATTAACACCAGGAAATAGGAATCCATCTATCCAACCTAGCATTCACTGGATGGAAAGCATGGATTGTATGGAATGTGAATGAGTCCTAATCTTCCATAGTTTAGAGGTTTTCAAGGAGAGACCAGACAACCAATTGTCTGGGATGTTATAAGGCCCTGAGGATGAACCTATGGCACGCATGCTAAAAGTGGCACGCAAAGCCCTCTCTGTGGGCATGCGTGCTGTCGCCAGCCGCTTTTCTGGTTTCCGGCATGCACATGCGTGCTGGGCAGCTGGTCTTCGTGGACGCCAGAGGGACATAAAATGGTGTGAAAAACAGCTAAAAAACAGGATGGGTTTTTGGGCCGTTTTCGGGCAGTTTTGGGGCCAAAAACGGCCTGAAAAATGCCCCCCAAAACAGCCAAAAATGGCCAAGAAACAGATATGTGCGCAGCGGCTAGCTGGTCTTCTGGTTTCCAGCGCTCTGGCACACACGCACGCATGTGCATGTACACACATTCTGGTTTGGGCTCTCAGTGCCGAAAAGGTTCGCCATCGGGGTTATAGGGCCTCCTCTCCTGCTTGAGTAGGGGGTTGGACTAGAAGCCCTCCAAGGTCCCTTCCAACTCTGTTATTCTGTTATTTCCAACATCTCCCCCTTAAAAAGAGGCAGTGGCAGCCAGCTGGGGGCGGG